TAAATAGCATCAATCAATACATTTTAGACACTTGTATATGTCTGAGTGCCTCAGCAATCTAAGTGTACCGGGTTAGTGTATATGCTGTGTCCATGCAGAACTTGTGTTTACATTTATTTGGTTTGTCTTTGTCCACAGACATCAGTAGATGTAAAGAGGACCCGCCAATGCAGCCAGAGCTAAAACAGTTTCCCAGGACCCTGATGGGGGACAGGAGAAGGAGCTTCAAGGCAGGCTGGTACCATATCCACCCCTGGCTTGAATATTCTCAACAGATGGACTCGGCGTATTGTTACGCTTGCAGATATTTTAGCCCTCCCTAATACTGTTTTTTTCTCATCACTGTAATGTTATGACTACAATGCTTTGAAAGTTTGATGAAATAAAAAGTCAAATAATATTTCGAATCTGTCTTTTTAGCCCTGGGTTGAATGTGCCCCTCCATCAAAACCCTCGGCCCCAGCCCGGCCCCCTCAGTGAAACTGATCTAGAACCGCCACTGTTTCTAAGCATATTTGAATTTACTTCATTTCACCTGTCAAGTGTAATTTACATGCACCAAGTATGACTTTGCACAGCGCACCATAACCAACCACAGGTAATACCAATTCACCGATTGTCTGAGAAGCGGCATTTTTCTTCGATCTACCGCAAAAAGAAAGGATATTTATTTGACAAGATGCAAAATATAACATCCATTCTCTTTTCTAAGCATATTTGAATTTACTTCATTTCACCTGTCAAGTGTAATTTACATGCACCAAGTATGACTTTGCACAGCGCACCATAACCAACCACAGGTAATACCAATTCACCGATTGTCTGAGAAGCGGCATTTTTCTTCAATCTACCGCAAAAAGAAAGGATACTTATTTGACAAGATGCAAAATATAACATCCATTCTCTAATCCGCTTACCCTCATAAGGGCGTGCTGGAGCTGATCCCAGCTGTTTTCGGGCAGTAGGCGGGCTACACCCTGAACTGGTCACCAGCCAATCACGGGGCACACCTTGACAAACAACACAATCACACCCATGGACAATGTAGAGCAGTGGTTCTTAACCTGGGTTCGATCAAACCCCTGGGGTTCGATTGAAACCCTGGGGTTCGATGAATCTGTCTCAGGGGTTCGACGCAGCTTCTGCCATGGAGGTTCAGGCACACCCAACCCGGAGAAAACCCGCACAGGCACGGGGAGAACAGGCAAACTCCACACAGGATGGCCAGAGCCGAAATCTAATCTTGCACCTCTGCATTGTGAGGCGGATGTGCCGCCCCACTTAATATTAATATTATTATATTTCATCATTACTTGTTGAGTGCCCTGCTGGCCCAGACGCTGCGCCTTAATAAGTGATGGCCTCTGCTCATTGAATCGTTTGTTCTGTGGTCATGCATTTGCAGGTAAACGGAGGCAGAAAACAGCCATGTGCTATCCAGGCAGCCAAGTGCCTCCTAGGATGATAATTTTCCTCAAAAGCCTAGTTTCCCACCCTACGTAAATCTATGGTAATGGTGAGAAAGAAGTGAAATTCGACGTTTGAAAATGAATATATATGAAGCCAGCACATGTCTGGGAAGCAGTCTTTGCAGGGAAAAAAAGCCTGAGGTTTTCCACATTGTTGACTTTCTCCCATTTTTTTTCTGATGCTGCGTTTCAAAATAAAAGGCCTCTGCAATTTTGTCATTTTCATTCTGTTTTGGTGTTGAAGAACCCCCCCTGCTGAAATCTGCAATTTCAACCGTTGATTCTGATTCCAATCCCGTCCTGGGGGGACATAATAATAATAATAATAATAATAAATTTTATTTATAAGCGCCTTTCAAAAAACCCAAGGACACTTTACAATCAAAAGAGCAATAAAACCACAGATAAAATTATAAATAATAAAAGTGATGAGTTTAAACTTTAACTCAACGGGTAAAAACTTCCATTCGACAAAACTTAAACAACACAAAAAGCAATTTGGACTCGGGACAAATCAGGGGACCAATTAAATACATCGCAGCATAGAAAAAGGGAAAACAAAGTGAAATATTGTTGGTTGTTGTAAGTTTATGGAGAAATTTGTTGTGGACACCGAAGAGAAGTGAGTTGCAATAGGGGAGGTGACGAGACTGTGGACAAGGATGGCAGTGGAGTGAGGGGTGAGAGAGGGACGGAGACGGTTGATATTGCATAGGTGGAAATATGCGGACCGGGTTATGTTATTAATATGAGAGTGGAACGATAGTGAGCTATCAACGATAGTGAGCTATCGAGGATGACACCCAGGTTCTTGACCTGAAGGGAGGGGGACACAGTGGAGTTATCAATAGTGAGAGAAAAGCTGTTGGTTTTGTGTAGGGTGGATTTGGTACCGACGAGGAGGAGTTCTGTTTTATCACTGTTAAGTTTGAGGAAGTTATGTGTGAACCAAGATTTAATTTCTGAAAGGCAGTGTGAGAGGGAGGAGGGTGGGAGGGATGCGTCGGATTTGCTGGAGAGGTAGAGCTGTGTGTCATCCGCGAAGCAATGAAAGTGTATACCAAATTTACGGAAAGTATTGCCAAGGGGGAGAAGGTAAATG